TGCTAGCTGAATATCACATAATTATTAGAAAAAGAGAAAAAAACAACTTTTGTTCTATGAGCCTGCATGTATGATCACCTCAGGTTTGCCAAGCTTCTGATCACAAACCCATCTTTCCAAATGTTCAGCGTGTTTCGCCCCCGCAGGAGCTGTTCCTGGCATCAGTAATGAAAGTGGAGGCTGATGCACCAATTGCCATGGTTTTCAACCCAAAACACACACACGCACACAGCCATCACCAGAGTATATGTCCAGCTTCCTGCAGCGCTACCATGTGTTTTCAATGAGCAGCAGGAGGTTGAGTTACATTACAACTACCTCTGCTGACAGCTAACCGGTACCAGCTGTGGAGAACCCTGAAGGAACAAAACAGGACAGGACTGCAGTTGGGGCAAGGGGGAGAAACGTGTCTGCACATGCTCAGTTCAGACTCGCTCGGATTCTGTGCTGAAGGCGCTAAACAACCACACATTTTGCAATTTATCTGAAAAAAAGAAAAGTAGTAACGGCCTGCTTTGCTGCTTTTTTTCTCACCATTTTTCATCATTTTCTCTAATATCTTTTCCTTTGTGTTACAGTAAATATTCCAACAGACTTTCTGTAAAAAAGAAAGCAGCTATTTAAGGCTCTAACTTTCTAGAGTGCAGCTTCAATTTATCTCAGTTTACAAACCTACAGCATTAAGGAGGAGGATGTGTGGGTGGTGTTATATTGAAAACCGGGTCTCCAGCACCTTTGGAAGAGGCAGGAACAGTCATCTCTGCCTTTTTTCCTGACAAAGCTAGGAGTCTGGATGGCTGTTTGAAGCATGAACATCTAAAGTAGGATAGACCATTTCCCTGATTAAAAACTGACCACGTTAATGATCAATAATGATCATTATTATTGATCACAAGAACAGCAAAAATTACTTTTCCCCGATTATTAAAAGGAGCCAACAACTTAAAACTCCACCAATAATGTGCAATTGAAATGCTGTATTATTTAAGGATGTCACATGCATGGCAGCAGAGCATTAAGATCTGCACCACCTGCAAAGCTGTCATATTTTACACATTCTAGTAGTCCCACACAGCTGTGGGCAGTCAGAACAAGAGGCTTCAATAGAGCAGAGCATTAAAATCCACTTTAATTATCACTTTGAGCAGAGGCAGAACAGGAAAGTCAGCACACAAGCTCAGCTCCTGCTGTTTGTGTCTCCTGACATCAGCCTGATATCTGCAGACAGCTGTGAAACTGTGCATACAGGCGGACTCGATAGTTTCATACACTCCTCCTACTTTGCCTCTTCCAAACATAGTTTTATTAATAAACACAACTAATGACCAGTTTGCAACTGGTTCACATAAGAGATATTTTCAGGTTACATTTGTCATGGAAATCAGTTTTTATACCACATAACAGATTACAAGGTCTTGAATAATCAGGCCCCAGTTTATGTTAAAGACCTCATAGCACCCCATTAGAGCATTTTGCCATCAGACTACTGGCTCAATTGTGGTGCCTAGGATATTTAAAAGTAGAATGGGAGACAGAGCCTTCAGCTTTCCTTTCTGATAAAGCATAAAGTTAGAGCTGGATGAGGTGACCCTGAATCCTTTTAAATAAGGCTAGGCTGCTGTGGGGGTTTCCCATAATGCACTGAGTGTTTTGTCTTCATTTACCTCTTCTCATGCTCTCCGTTTTTATTCACCTCTCTGCATTTAGTCATTCATTATTATTAATCTCTGGCTCGCTTCCACAGTGTGTCTTTTGTCTCATCTACCTCCTCTCACCTCCAACCAATCGCAGCAGATGGCTGCCCCACCCTGAGCCTGGTTCTGCTGGAGGTTTCTTCCTCTTAAAAGAGAGTTTTCCCTTTTCACTGTTGCCAAGTGTTTGCTCACAGGTGTTTGTCTGCATGTCGGGATTGTACAAGATAAAATGGGAAGGAGCCCTTGTCCTCCCCACTTCCAGGAAGCCTTTATTTAATGCTCAAAACTTGACCACACCCTTGTTCAAAGCCAGGTGTGGTCTATGGTTTGATGTCAACCATAGACGTGCAAAGTTTCATGACTGTATCTTGTACAGTTGCAACATTATGTTACTGAAAATCTCTGTTCACTGGAAACAAATAAACACTCAAAGCACCTTGATGCAGGTAAGGAATCCCAGAAAGTTGATTCTGGATGAAAAGAATAAAGACACTCTGTAACCCTCCCAATCCCACCCCTTAAAAAGCACTAGACTGATTTAAATCTGAATTTGGACCACAAGGATGCCAGGATGTGGCCACATACGACAAACAACGACTTGACCTGGGTAAACTCTGAATCCAAATATTTAGCCCATAAAACAGGATCAGCACACTGCGCTATTATGTAACAATCACATCATCTGCTGGCTGCATAAATGTAGGCCATCCTCTGGGTACTGAGTTAGCCTTGCTAGGCTCAATCTGAACATGCAGTGTGAGCAGTCTAACGAGCTAAAAAAGACTTTCAGTTTTCCTGAGAAGATGACATGTTACTGCTGATGTGACTGCTAAAATGAGGAAGCTAATGCCAAGCCAGTACAGCGTGAAAACAGGTTGAGAAATAAAAAGGTCAAAGGTTATATAAAGGAAGGAAGAAATAGAGAGGAGAAGGAATAAAAGAGGGGAAAAAGAAAGTGCCCTTGTGGTATCCATCAAGTGTAGATGTGCAGAACAAGATTTCACTGTGTCGGTCTTCGGTGATGCATCATGTAGCGCCTGTGTGCTTCTGGCCTTTAAAGAAGAAAGACTGTTGATGCACTTTCACTTGTTGACTGACAGTAAGACTCACACAAACACATGAATCTAAATGAAATGTGGCGATGAACAGGTGTGTATACAGGACCAGCTGAGGAGGAACAGTTGTCCGTAACAGCCTCGCCTGCCCACGTACTCATACACTCTCCGCTAAGCAAGTACGGGGGTGGAGGGATGGCAGCCCAGTACAGCTACTGGTGTCTAACTCACTATCTCACATTCTCAAGAAGCCATCAGTGGATAATGAGTGTTAATTTAACACTAAATTTAAGGGGCTGTATTATGCCCATGACAAATTACTGTGCTATAACACAACAGCTTTGAGTAAGTCGCAGTTGAAAATTGCTGTATGTGCAGTTTAGATCCAACCTTTGCTCGTCACGTCCGGTTTCAATGACATGACAAACATTACGTTTGGGGGGTGGGGGGGAACATCAGCTTGAAAATTCAAAAATAAGACTTCACAAACCAACAGGTGGCATAATGGTAGCTACGTCCATCTTTTAGACCATCCATGGTTTGAAAAGCAGGTGGTGGGCCTTATGTGCTTACAGCCAGAAACAAAAATTATGGTTCACATTTGCAGCCTGCATGCGTAATGTCAGATAGAAACAGTGTACAAAGTATGTGATAGAACAGGTCTTGCTTGTGGTGTTGTTGGTCCATTTGCCAGCCACAGAGAAGATCCACTCTTGTCCCCTTCCCTTCACAATGTCCACTTGACGCATACGTCATCCGATTCCATCAATGATGGAAAGAGCAATAAGTGCAAACCCCTTTTCCTCCATGTCATATTTGCATAAATTAGCCTAGAGTTGTGAGCCTGACATGAACATATTTGGGATCTCCGCTGTCACTGA